TGGGTGGTTCGGACAACTTGGCGAATTTCTCTCGTTTATGTTGGAACAAAGCAAATACATCTGGCGACCACAAAGTATTGCCCGCACAAGCAATCGTAGTTCGACAGCGCCTGGTTTGCCCTATCCACGGCTACTATCTACGTTCTCCGACGAACGGAGGGGGCAAAAACACATAAAAACTGATCTTCAAACCTTTCCAGACTCTCTTTGTACAGCCCCCGTCGCAGCATTTTGACGAGAAGGTAGGCTTTTTGTCTTGTTTCCTCCAAAGGAACTTAGGAATGCATCTCTGGCACGGCGACTTCTGCCCACCGCCCCAGACCGCGAGTGCGTCCGGTGCGCCACCACGGCGGCGTGACGTAGGAGAGTTGAGTTCGTGTATAGTATAGTTGCATCATCATTTGATGCGGCGCGGCAGGCCTTTATTATTTTCAAATCCCAGTATGTCGTCGCTATCTGCTGGTGGATACCTGAAGCAGAGAAACTGAGTGCTCGCACCTATTAGAACTTGCAGCGAAAGCCGGTGCAGCCAAAGGAAGCTTAATTATAGCAGGAATAGGTAAAGGAGTACGTGGTTGAAGGTGAGAAAAGTTCGTATGGGTGCCGTGGGCCTCATAATAATAATAATAATAATTTATTGGCACGGGGTAATTTCGAGACGACCCGCGCAAAATCGCCCAGGTTTATCGAGACCTCATCAAGCTTTAGATCAACGGCTCCCCTATTGCTCGACTCCCCCACATCAAGGTCCTGGGCTTCATCTTTCAGCAGGATGGCCGCAGCACCTAACCTAACCTAACCTAACTTAACCTAACCTTGAACATAAAAAACAAATCGATGGCATCTTTCTTGACTTTGCAAAAGCCTTCGATAGGGTACCTCATAATCGTCTTTTGACCAAACTTCCTTATTTTAAAATTGATCCCCTTATCATCGCCTGGATATCACAATTTCTTTCTGGTCGCTCTCAATTCACCGTCGCAAACAACTCCGAGTCATCTCGAACTAACGTAACATCAGGCGTCCCTCAAGGAAGCGTACTCGGACCACTTCTTTCTCTAATCTACATTAATGATCCCCCTCTCTGTGTCTCTTCCACCATTCGCCTTTTTGCAGATGACTGCACAATTTATCGCACAATCACGAATACTGACGATCATTCATCCCTGCAAACCGACTTATCATCCATTGCTCATTGGTGTGACACGTGGCAGATGTTGTTGAACTTAGATAAATGCAAAGTGCTAACCTTTTCTCGAATTTCGTCACTATCTTCTTACACCTACAATATTAACGACACTGTACTCAGTAGTGCTTCATCGTACAAATATCTTGGTCTTCATATAACAAGCGATTTAACATGGACCACTCATATTAATCACATAATCGCTAAGGCAAATAGCACACTGGGCTTTCTACGAAGGAACTTAAGACTCGCCCCCCTAAAGTGAAACAGATCGCATACCTAAATTTAGTCCGCCCCAAGCTAGAGTACGCTGCATCCGTATGGTCCCCGTGGCAGAACTACCTTAAACGAGAACTTGAAAGTGTGCGAAACAGAGGTTTGAGGTTTATTTATTCTGATTATTATTTTTGCACTAGTGTTTCTGGTTTGCGAAAGCGAGCGAATCTTCCCGAGCTCGCTTTAAGAAGGAGGATATCTCGATTGACGCAGTTTTTCAAGATCTACCACCACAACCCTACGCTTAGAAAAATTTTACTCCCAGGTCCCATTTCATTTTTCCCAAGACTAGACAACAGCTGTAAAATAGAGCCTATATTTGCCTCCACCACCTCCTACGCCAACTCTTTTCTTCCTTCGACAATATAAAAATGGAATGCTTTCCCTGATAACATTGTTACAACTAACAATGTGGACGTATTTAAAAAGCTACTAGGTGAACATTTAGATCCCTGTGCAAATAATACTGAGTCTTAATATGTTAATATCATGCCCTTCATTTACTTCTTTTATTATTTTTTGTGTTTATTTGTATTTTTATTGCTGCTCACGGGTTTGTATCACTATGCTCTATATTGAAATGTTCAGTTTGTCATTCATTGTGTTGCTGAAACTTTTAGTTGAAACGTTTAGTGTCCCATCCTTGTGTAATGCCCTGTAACGGGGCCTTCAAGGTATTATGAAATAAATAAATAAATAAACAAATCGAACAAGTGCACTAGATGATCCGGCGCATCACCCGGCAACGCCAAGGCCTCACGAATCGTGAACTGTGATAGGTAATCGAGGTCATGGTCTACTAGCACGTTATGTACGCACTCCCCTACCAGAACCTCACGGCCATGCAACGCCGGCGCCTAAAAGCGGCTTTTCGCAAGTGCACCCGCACCGCCGTCGGAGTTCCTTCCTACACCCCCAATTTTAAAATAGAAGAGACGGCCCTTTCCAACTCACTCGATGGGCGGATGGAAAACTACCACAGCGCCCAACTTCACCGACTCACAACCTCCGCACATGGCAGAGCCATCCACTGTCTGCTAAGGCATTCTACAGACCATCTGCCCCCATTCCCCTAACTCCACCTTCTTGGGGCGGCATTCCTCGTCTCGTCGTTCACCAGATACCCCGCAACATGGATCGCGCTACAGACGCGATAAGCAGACAAGACAAAGCGGACATCTCCATGAACCGACACATAAAACCTACTACACTGACGCTTGAGTCATCGACAACGAGACCGTGACGGTGACGGTCGGACCCTCCACCACCTTCACGAGGCTTCACTTCGGAGTTCCTTCAGTAGCGGAGGTGGAGACAGAAGCCACACTAGAAGCAATCATTCTTCACCAACACACCACGGCAACCATCCCTGTGCGGACGGACAGTTAGGAAGCTTTCCGCAGCTTCAAGGCTCAAGCACTGACTAGGCACATCTACACTTCCCTTCAAGAATACATGTGAACCCATCTGCAACTTACAGTTCATCTAGAATGGATACCGGCCACCAAGGCATTAAAGGGATACTACAACGAAATTTCGGCGCCTATTTTATGGTCTATATGTGTTCAAAGGAGCAGTATCACATCGAACACACCAATATCTTGTTTAAAAAGTCAAGAAAACGAATTTTAAAACGAATTAAACGATTAGCAAAGAGCACCTGGTGGATGTCGCTAACACCTCGCTTGTAATGCCCGTCTAGGAACCTTGACAGCAAGTGACGGAGGTTGTCTCGCCTCCGGCCACGACGATAGAAGAGGGGAACGAGGAACTCCCCTCTTCCCGAGAATGCCTTTTGTGTGTCGCAGAAGTCGCTATTGTCCCCCTACAAGATTATAGAAGATTAACCCGTCACTCAAAATTCGTACAAACGCAGCGGCTTCGGTGGCTGGAACGACTAGGCCATCCTCTAGGCGTCAGCCTCGCCGTAGCTTTGCTCGTCTTGAGACGACCTACGTCACGATTGCGTTGGATGTCACGTGGTCTCCGCTGGGCCTTTTCCGAGCGCTTGCCAGAGTTTGCCGTTTATAACGAAAAATACAGCCACAAAGCTCAAAATACAAACGTGCGATTGTCATTTACGGATATTGTGGATCCTATTCAACCTATTTTTGAACACGACGAGAATATTTCAAATATTGTTGAAGTATCCCTTTAAGGGAAATGAGCCAGCACACGCTCTGGCCCTGCGACAGTGAACTTCCGGGCCCCCGACACCCTGGCCAGAACTAGGCCATCCCCGCGAGGACCGCTCATAACCTCACAAGGAACAAACTGCACACATGGCCAGCTTCAGGTCCCAGCGCTGCAAGCTTCCCACCTCTTCCTGGCCCCAGTCCAAACAGGAGGCCTCTATTATCCGGCAAGCACAAACCTTCTCTCTTCCTACGAAGCACTATATGCACTTCATCCAGCGCCGATCTGGGCCCGTTTGCTCGAAGCACTAACCGCGGCTAAAGTTAGCCGCAGTACCTAGGAGAGGCATTTTGAGATCACGTGACTGGCTCAATAGGGATGCGGGGAAACCTGGCGGTGCCCCAGTGAGTAAGCGCCGCTCGCTTTGGAACTAATATGTCGTTGTAGCTGCAATATCGGGCGCGTTAGTCAGCAACGAATGGTGCAGGAGGCTTTCGCTTTGCCTTACCTCACTTAAACCGCAAAGCATGGGCAATGACATCACCGCATTTTTTAGATAGTGTTTCGATTCTGGGCACTCCTAAGCCTAAATGAACGCGATAATTGTCGGCACAGAAACGTCTTTGAGAGGCGTTTCTATGCCGAGTGGCCCCCGCAGCCATTTGCAATGGCTGCGGGGGCCACCCCTCCAATGAACACACATACTGGTCCCGTCCCATGGCCCCAACCCCTTTCACCTGTATCTCTCTCTCTCCCTTTTTCCCTCCTCATACCCCTAAGCCTGGGCGAGCATGGGCCGTTCCCCCAAAAGATCTCCAAGCCACACAGCGGCCATTCCTCGTCGCCCACATTGAACAAAATAACTCTATCCTCGGACGCCGAACCCATAGACCGCTTAAGGAGGAGGACAGCGCATCCTCATCCTCCGATAAGATTAAAAACTGCTTCGGACTTGAGTCGTTAAATAAAGTTTATTCTCTCTCTCTTTTTTTTTTCGTCAGTTAACTGAGGTAAGCCAGCTCAATATAACTCAATGATAATTAGCGGCTGAATGACAGTTGGCGCCGCCGTGTAACTCCGGCCAGTCACAATTGAGTCAACTGTCGTGGTCTTAATTACAGTTAAGAGCGCTAGTGTAGCTAAGGTATTGTACTGTTCTATTTGCATTATTGTGATTCTGTAACCTGGGGGTGACGGGATAACCTCCTGTTGATAAATGCCATATAAGAAATTAATTGTCCAGCATACTGTGTCTTACGATCACACCAAAAATGCATTTATTTACACTTACAACAACCCACCGCGCACGGAAGGAAACAAGCCGCTGTAGTACAATGAAGCGGTCGCACCAGTTTTTAACTCCCTTACGTTCGATCATAAGGCAATGCTGGCGTGTCGCATGCTACCAGATGGTGCACTTACGTGCAGGGTTCATGGGGGACCCTACGGCACAGTTGAAAGCGGACGAGAATCGGGCAAAGTTCATAAGCGGTATGTTGATCCTGAGCCTTCCCGGGATGTCTTCATACTTGATCTTTCGCACCCAAGCTTCCCTGTTCGGCTGATCGCAGAGCCCTACAGCGTAGTTGATGAAAAACAGCTGTTCCAGGTCAACCTCACCTACGTCCAAAGCCACCTTAAGTTTGTCCAAGGCCTGGCCCTGCATCGTGAGTGTCTTCATATAGAGGTCGTGGAGAGGCGCGATGATCGCGTTGTCGGCAATGTTGTCCTCCAGTTTGATTCTCGCCTCAAAGTTGTCGCCGACCAAATCTCTGATCTCAACGTAGTACTGGTCCTGGTAACACAGCTCCAGTTGCGAGAACTTGCTCAGTTCGTCCGTGTTCCACCAGGTTGCCACAGCGAGGTTATGGTCCACGGTGGCTCCGCGCCGGTCCACGGCACCAAACATTCCTCGCAGAGGGTCCGCGAGAATGATGGGGTAGAGGACAGGATCAACATTCTTTGCAATGTCATTCAGGAAGGCCACGTTTCCATGGGGAATGAACAGTACGTTCCTTCCAAAAAAGTACTCGTAGCCTGGGCAAAAGCCGGTGTGATCGTATCTAGCGTCCAAGTCGTCCTTTGGGGGCTTCGTCTCCCAGTAGACGTTCATGGTACCGGCTTGGAGCTCACGAAAACTTTCCAGGAGCCGGCTTGGGTCTAGCGGTTGTGCGTTGAAGTTGTAGTAGTTAGCGATGGTGTTGATGTCGTCCGTACTGCCGAGGAAGATGAATCTCATGTTTTCGAGCTTGTCCACTCCTATCCCGATGGCGGCACGGTCTAACCAGGATGAAGATGACAGCAGTCTATCGGCCATGCTGCTCTTGAGCTGACTTTCGACGCTAGCCATGCTGTAGTCGTAATGTTTCAGTAGCAGGGTGGAGTTTGTCTTGCTGAAAGTCATTCTGCTGAAGAAGCGCATCCCGTGCTTGTAGACCCGTTCAAGAAGATGCATGCATGCTTGCAACCGATCTGGGACAAACTCCATGTAGTTGTCATGACTTAAACGCAAAAGTGGACTGGCAACCTTAGCCAGGAGTGGGGACACGTGTACTACGAGCCGATAGCCAATGTAATTGAGCAAAGTAACAGTGTCAGTTTCATTCAAGACAGGAGCCATTTTAGTAAGGTAATCCTGGTTCATTACGGCTACGGGCTTCTCGTTGTCGAACGTCTCTATGTCCTGAAAAAGAATGGTAAGGTACTCTTTCCAGTCCCACTTTCCCTTTCTATCCAGCTGTCCAACTCTTTTGATTCTGTCCTGAAACTCAACAAATCGGGTGACGGTCATCACGCTGAGCAACTTTTTTTCGAGAAGAGCGATGGCTTCTGCCTGTTCTGTGACATCCACCTTCTTGTCGAAGAGCGTCAAGGCCAGCGCCACCTTCTGCGTGTAGTTCTCGACGGGCTCGTCCAAAAAGGCAAGCTGATGCCTCTTGAGCGTCGAGCTGGGCTTATCGATGTGTACGGTGTAACCTCGGTCATCCTCGAAAGGCTTCTTCAAGAAAACTTTGGCGAAAGGGAACACGCCCAAGTCTCTGTCCACGAAAGCAGAGATTGTTACAATGCTCACGCCTCGGGGAGCCTTCCTGTAAGGCCAGCTGCCCAAGTTGTATTCCTCCAGAAGACTCTTCAGCGAAGTCAAGTTCTTGTCGTTCTTTTCTTCTGACTGACACTTCGGTAGTAAGGAAATGGCTTGATGCAGGAACACCCCGGGGTATTTGTGATAGCGCTCCTCATTCTCCTTGAGATAGTCTCTGAAGAATTTCTCCAAGTCCATCATCATCATGCCGATGCTTCGCTCCCGGTACGGCCTGTTCTGGACGTCCAGGCCTTTCGCGTACCAGTTGCGCGAACACACGTAGCCATAAAAATCGTTGCACGGGTTCACGCTCGCGTTCAGTTTGCCTCGCAGGTAGTTAATTGTCCAGGAACACACGTCCGACTTGCAGCTGACGTCCGTGGGGATGTTCTTCCGCTCGTGTTTGGTGAGGTACTTGGCGGCCGCGTCGTCAGCCGTGGCGTTGGGCGTCGGCCTGAGCAGCGCGATGGACCTGTTGAAGAGCGCGACGATGGCGGTGCCGCTCTGCAGCTTGTACGTGGTGACAGCCACGCCGACCATGACCATGAGAATTCCCACGGTGCAGACAGCCACGTAAGGTAACCTGCTAGGCGTTGCGTGCAGGATCTGTGACCTCGACCGTGTCTGTACAGTCGTGCACTTGGGCTCCGGCGAAGGGGCTGGCCCCTCGGCAGGGTCCAAGGGCTCGGGGCTCGGGTCCCGGTCGTCGCCGAGTCCCACGTCGTGGCGTTCCCTGGACGCGGCGTGGGACATCGTGGAACCTGTCTATTTGGGAGCTCGGGTTGCTGTCGCGCGAGTGATGTGCCCGTGAGTTCGACCGAGCACGCCCGCTCTCGTGAGTGCACATCCGGCTTCCTTTCTTTTAAGCATCAAAAAGAAAGAAAACTTGTTTATTTTCTTTTATGGCCAAGCAAGCAGGCTACGCAAGGTTAAGGCTCCGATGCTGAACGCTTTTCAGTGTGTGCTTGCGTCATTTAGACACTGCTACTTTTTCTCTTCTGAGAAAGCACAAAAGTTCGAAAGAAAACGACGATTTTTACCCGACTGCGTTCGCTCTGCGCGTGATGTTGGAGCAGTGCCTGCTGCGCCGCGCTCAAAGCGAACGTGTCGTCGGGCGAAGTTCGCCAGCTGTAAATAACAGAGACGATTGCAGGAGTGCTGGGTCGCTAAACTCGTCAACAAAAATATTCTTTGTGTTATGACATAGTGGGGGGAGTAGCCGAAAGATTGCTGCGAAGTTTTCTTTTCTCACCAACCCGCAGCTCCGTCTGTCTTCGTGACGTTTTTCGTTGAGGGGACGAAAAATTCCTACGCCTCCCTAGGCACCGAACAAGAGCAGCACTAGAGAGCGCGCGGAGACGACCGTGGCTCATACAAGGTATATGTATAGATGGTAGCGAAGCTTCCATAGAAGCCCATAGGCGCAAAAAATGGCGGCTCATGGGGCGCAGCGCCATCTCTTAGTTGCGCGGCATTGTCATTAGTCATGCTCGCCCGTGACGTACAGGAAGTGACGCTTTATTAAAAAGGAACAAAGAAACACGATATGGCGCATTTTCCTCAAGATTGTGACGTCACGATTGTTTTCGGCGCGAAATTTAAATGATTTTCGCCGGTGGCGCGAAATTTAAAGTTTTTCAGATGTTCTACATGCCTGCTACCGTCCTTCAAACCTTGCTTCACGCCTAATAGCCTTGTTTGTATCAGTCACTCCCATGTAATCCCTCTTCCAAGAAAACCAGTTTTTTTATCAGTTCTGGGAACCACCAATAAGTCACTATCTTCTTCAACTAAGCAGTGTGTTACAGCACGCCTATGGAGGCGTACTTATCATTGTAACTACGGCTTGTTCGCCAAGAAAGACAAAAAGGCACAAGCTTGGTTTACACAGTTTATTATATACAAACTTACAACACCACCACTGAACACTTGAAGATAGAAATGGCATTAAAAACGAAGTGAAATAAGGTCTGGACAACTCTATGCACGCACTTAATACTCTCAACGGGAGGCACGTTTACGCATTTATCTTGCACTGTTCACGTTGAGAGCTCGCAACTAGATTGAACTATATCAATCACAGGTGGAGGTGCGGGGCTATGCATGTCTTTTGCATTTGAATGTCCACATGAATTAATGCTTCAAGAGATTGAAAATTGAGACTTTTCGTTATAGCACATGCGCTCGTCACACACATATTGCGCTCCACAGCTTGGCTATTTATGTGAGGATTAGTACGCAGGAAACTGCCACAAAATGATAGGAAAGAAAGCATTAGAAAAAGGATAATAATTCGCTTTGTGGCAAATTGTTAGCACCATACTGACTCGCTGAGTTACCTTTCATCGCAGTTTGATATACTTTTGTATACCTCACACAACCAAACATTAATCCAGGTTTATGTCTCAAGTCGTCACACTGCACAAGAAAACATCGAGGTCAACGCTTCTTCTCACACACTCCTCAATAATGCACAGGGTGTGTAGGGTGTCTACCAACCTGGAAAACTTAAAATATTTAAGTAAGGCGGATTATATTTAAAGAACAGGCTAATATAAAGGGAACCGTAAAAAAGTTCCTAATCATTAAAATTATAAGCGAAAGTGGAACGGCAGCGTGCAACGAAGCCCGATGATTGCACAAGGATTTCACGGTGGTGCCGCTCCACTGAATAACGTTGCCCGACACATCACTAGGCAGCGCAGGCCACTAGGCACTCCCTGAACCGAAGTAACGGTCAACATTTAATCGAAATAGAGAGGAAAACCTTGGGAAAATTGGGAAATTTGGAATAAGTGATTTGGTAGACACCCTGTCCCATCATTCAGTGAGCAACGTCATCTAGCACTATACAGCGAGGGTTGAATGAATCTAACAAATTTTACTTAGAACGAAAAAATTAGTTTTGCATGCTGTGCCACTGAAATTTTGATATTGATTAATTGAAAATTCAAGTTCATCTAGCTGAACCTATACGTTGATTGCACTGTCTGAGCATGCGAAACAAACTTTTACACTTTATTTAAAGTACGATAGATTCATTTGGTCATCGCAGTAGACAGTTTCGGCAAAGTGTGTGATAATTTAGAGATATGTACTCGCACAATCCGGTATGCCAGCGTGATCGTTGAATGCAACACGCAAAACAAACTAAAGGTACTTCCTGTGGGCATAACGCGAGTGATGTCTCATCTGCACAGCCTCTGGACTCGTTGCTGGGTTTTGCGTCTCACAGCTGCATCAAGGAGCTCAGTATTTTTTTAAGGGCGAACCAATGAAGCCTCACCCTTGTAAACAAAGCAAATAAATCACCATAGACATCCTCACTGCAGAGTGTCAGCAGCTTTTCGAGCTTCTCATGAAGAGTGATGCACAACGCCTTCCCCAACGCCTTCTTTCAAAACAAAACTGTCAATTGACGCCACAAAAACCTTCTCACAAGCTTGAACGAAAGAAACAAAGCAAGGTGAGGGGACCGAGAGGCTTCCAAAGTCTCCTTCAGCCGTTCCTTTCACACTCAAATACAACAACACTTGGCTGTCATCAGAAAAAGTGGCATTCTTGATTTGCAATTCACATTGCTGAGTCACGTTTTGACATGTGTGATATTTGACAAACCTTGTTACAAGCCATCCAGCAAAGTAAACCATGTTGTTAAGTGATAATAAAGTGGGATAACTACAGGATGTGAGGTTAGCTGCACATTGTGGAAGTGAGCTTCCTAGACTAAGTGAAGCTGAGGGAGCTGAGAAACCAACCGGAAAAGCCGCTAAAAGAGTTGCCATGTCCTCTTCGCAGTTGCTCTTGTCAGACAGTTTAAACAAGTTGCTAACTAGGAGATGTCTAAAGGCTGCCAGACTTTGACCCTATTACGGAGAATGTGTTTTCGAGTGCATCTTGGTTGAGATGGCGAGTCAGGAGGTATCTGAAACCATACTCAGATGTCAGGTGCTCACAAATCAGCATAATAGACCGAATGGTCAAGGAGAAACCGCGAATGCAAGCAGGCTGCCGTGGGCACCCAAGAACGGTAAGGCTTTCGAACATACGAAGGCATTCTTTCAGAAACTCCTTGTGAACAGAGTCTTCGTGCATTGCAGACACATATGCACTCTTCCCGCGTTTCTGTGAGCTGTTCAAGCTATCAAAAAGACGATCCATTTTTTCAATAAACCGGGCCGTGTGGATAGCTTCAACTGGCAGTTGCTGGAAAGTTACCATGGCAAACATTGCAGCAGCACAGTGATTAATGAATATTTGCGCTGCTAGTTTCACTGACATTTTGGAGGCAAAAGTCAAAATAAAATGCTTCTTACTGAGCCTTGGCATGGATCGGACTTCAAGCTGTTTGTCTTTTTCGTAAGCTTCCCTGAGGAAAGAGCTTCTCAACGTGTGGTCCCCAACTTGAAAATTGTACTTGAAGAACATATTTCGTAAGCACTTCAGCAGATGTGGAACATCAAATAGAAAAAAAAGTGGCTTCTCATTCACAGTTACGTAGGGCTTCTCAGGGGTAACAAGGCCATTAAAAAGAGCAACATTTTGATTGCCTTTGTCACATACGACAGCTACTGGCTCCAGGCCTGCTTTCACAAGCAAATTGTGGCACTGGAAAAGAAGGTCACGCAAAATGTTGGCAGGTGTTCCCCCATGAGCAAAAAAATACCCAAGTGGCTGCTTCCATGGCGTGCGAATGCCTTTAACCATAAAAACAAGAGCTTTGTTTGCAAGGTTATGGCCTCTTCCAGTATTACTTTCTTCGAGCCCTTCAAACCTGTCCACAGAGGGGTTGTACAAAAGGTCTTTCGTGACGTGCATCTCGTCAAAGGCAATAATGCATGGCTTATCTTCTGGTGAAAAAGAAGCTGCACGTCTTTTGACTAGTTCTAAAACTTCTGGGTAAAAACCAACCCTCAGGGGAACACGGTGAAGCCAAAGCTGTAGCGACTTAACGGATGGGAGTCTCAACAATTGCCTACAGTACCGGTAACCCTTAGGGCTGTGAAAGTACAAGCCCAAGGCAAAGGCTTTGTTCTGGCTGCACCACCGCCTACCGAACCTGCTCGCATTGGTCATCTTCAGCTGAGCTTCCACAAGGGCAGCAACGGCTGGAGAGACAAGGCTACGTACACTGTCATCTATCTCAGTGACAGTCAGCATATGACGCCGTCACTGCAGTAATTGCTGGAGTCTCATGTTATGTTTCCGAAGCTGTCGAAGTCTGGCCCTCAACACGTCCATCTTTCCCTTGCCCTCGGTGCGGGTGGCACAGGACCCTGCAAGGGGAAAGCAAAAGCAATTATGAAACATTTCGAGAAATAATGAAATAAACAATGTGCCTCCACTGTAGAAAATGTGGAAGTACAAGTAAACTTTGTGCATCATGACGGACACCTACGTTGGTGAGGAACCGCAGAAGTCGAAGACACCGACGCATCATAATCGGTAGGTGAAGGTTCAGGTGCCCACACATCGTTTCCTCCAGACGGCGGGCCATGTCCATCCATCGCGCCTTGCATCGCGTATGTGTGATCCACTACAAGAAACAAAACAAAGGAAACAAAGTGACAGAGTGGTTGCAAAAAGCTGAACCAGCTATGACTGGTCAAGTACTACACAACAAAGTAATCTTCAAAGACTGTCCTAAACAACACACACTATGAAAACTTACCATGAACTCTGGTTGGAGGGCTAGTCTTCGTGCCAGAGGTCAGAGCCGTGAGACTGCTCCCCACATCTGCAAAGCAATGACG